TTGCACAGGTAAGAAGCTCTGCCATCCAAAACCAGGCCAGCAAGGACACTCGGGAAACACTCCCTAGCTGGTGGCGGGCTCAGCTTTCCTAGCAAAACCTACCCTTTAGGACCCACACCTGTGAGAGAGGGCCCTGCAGAAATCTCAGTTTGGATCAAAGCAGGCCAGCCGATCACCCCACTGAGAAGCTCAGGATGTGAACACTGAGGTGGGATGAGACCTAAGAAGCAGGAGTTCTGGAGTCAGACAGACCTGGGCTTCAATCTTGGCACCACTCACTCACTCTGTGGCCTTGAGTTGCTTGCCCTCTGTTTGCCTCATCCACAAAATGGAGATAAAAATATGTAACTTTGGGGGCCGGCCTGGTGGCATACTGGTTGGGTTTGCATGCTCCACTTGGGCAGCCCAGGGTTCGCAGGTTCAGATCCCAGGTGCAGACCTACATGCCGCTCATCAAGCCATGCTGTGGCAGCGACCCACATACAAAATAGAGGAAGACTGGCACAGATGTTAGCTCAGGGCCAATCTTCCTCACCAAAAGAAAATAAATATCTAACTTTGAGAAATTATGAAGATACCTGCACATGGTAGGCACTTTGCAGGCGGTAGCTTTGATTACTGGTTTGTCAAACGCAGCAGCAAGTCTGTGCTCAGCCACCCACACATTCTCCTGGATCCACTTCTGACCAATGTCATTTACTTACAACATAACTGACCTAGAGGGTAAAGCCTTCAGCCACAGAACCGAGCCATCGCCCTTGCCAAGCTAACTGACCCATATAGGGATCACAGCCTTGTTCTTACAAGAACCACTCTTTTGTTTATTTTTTTTATTTATGCATGTTTTTATGTGTTTCTTTATACATATGCATATATATTTTTTATTCAGATGGCATTTTACACTTACACTATTTTCCTATGCCCCATTCTTCCACATCAACCCCCACCCCCCAATTCCCCAGGTAGCCCAGGTTAACATTTTAGTACGTGTCCTTCCATATTTTTCCCCATACTCATGTAATTTTACAGACACACACACACACACACAGAAATAGTGAGTTTTTGGGGGCAGTGGTTGTTTGTTTAACAAAAATAGAATTATATATTACATACACTCTTCCCTCTTTTATTCTGCCACACTTTGCTGAAATCCTTTTCATGGTTCTATAACAATCCGTGGTACGAAGCTACCACTGCTGTGAGCCATTTCCCTACCGATCGGTACTTGCCGAGTGTCATTTCTTGGCCACTACAAACAAAACAGCAATAAATTCCTTGTACATATGTCCTTACCAAAGACTATTTTCTAACTAGACGAAATGCCAAGAGCCTGGATGTGAAAGTCACCCATCCAAAGGGCCTCATGATGGGCTCCCAACATGCTACACCATCCTTGAAATTCCCCTGGGAAAGGACCCCTCTGCTCCTACAAGGAAGCGCAGATCCCGGGCATGGCTTTGGCTTCCAACCCCCAGTTCTTCCAGGGACTTACTCTGTCCGTCAAGTCAACTCTATGGGTCTTAATTTTCCCATCTGTAAAATAAAATAATAACTGCCCCAAGCTGCAGGATTCGAGAGTGATTTTGTGAGCGATTTTTATGAGGGATTGGTATGGAAAGTAATATTTTTGCTGTTATTCTATGGGCTGTTGTTTCTAGCTTGTTGTTGGGGGTCAGAGAAGAGAGGGAAAGCCAAACTACCAGATTCAATTAGATTCCCTCTGTGACTCAGAGGTCCCCGTTTACGAGGTTTCTAGGGCTGCACGGGGAGGCCTCTGTCTCCGAGTTTCTCAAATACCAAGCACTGTGCTTGTTTACAGCCAAAAGTGAGGACTAGACGGAGGGACTTTTGACTCTCCACTTGACTGACTTCGTCAAACTTCGAAGAGAGGCAAGTGTCACTGAAGCTATGAGAAGAATGATCCAGTGAGCAAATTTCGGAAAATCAGTAATTTCGCCAGGGGGTGGTTGATTTTCACTCAAAAGTTCTCTAAGCTCTAAATTTCATTTGATAAAAGGTGTAAGGGGAGGGGGGATGGGGGAAAAGGCACTCCTTCTGCAGGGGGTAGGGGAGTCAATGTTTTCTGTTCTTGAAAAAAAGGGAGACGTTTTAGGTGGAACAAATCCTAAACCTTCCATTTCAGTCAGCAGTTCTGAAAGTCTTTCCAGAGCGTTCCTGGAAGGCAGCGGTTACAGCACCTCGAGTGAATTTGCCTGGTTACCGGATGGCTCACACACGTGAGAACAGAGCAGTAGGAACAGGAAAATCCACAGAATTAGTGTAACGGTATTCTGCTTCAAAACTCGAAACAAATCAGAATACGGAATAATTTTCTTCATCAAAATTAAGCAGATGATTTGCACCCTGCTCTGGAAGAGGGCTCGGCAGCATCTACGGAACACACGCCTGCCCCGTGATCTAGGCAGCCCCTGGCAGGTATGCACACGTGTGTCTCCAAACACACGTGCTAGCAGCTCCCTCACAGCGCGACTCCCAGAAGTCCCGAACCGGAAACTGCCACGTGCTCACCAAGAGGAAGAACGGGCTGAGAAATCCTGGTGCATTCGCGTGACGAAACACTACAGCACAAAGGATGAGCAACCTGCAACACAGCCGACTGTGGGTGAACTCGGCGCCGAAGGGGGAAATCCACACACTAAAGCGGACTTACTAGGAGATTCTGCTCGACACAGCTAGGATCCGGATAGTCCCCCTTGGCCGGGTTGGGTAGCAGGTGTGGTGGTAACTGGAAGGGGCACAGCTGGGCTTCTGTCCTGTTGTTTCTTAACATTGATGACACAGGAAGTTCAGCTTGTCAAAATGTATTGAGTTAAACAAATGTGCATTTCTCTGTGCGTATGCTATACTTCAATTTTTAAAACTTTAAAAAATAGGGCCGGCCCGGGGGCGCAATGGTTAAGTGCACATGTTCTGCTCCAGCAGCCCAGGGTTCACTGGTTGGGATCCCGGGTGTGGACATGGCACCGCTTAGCAAGCCATGCTGAGGCAGGCGTCCCACGTATAAAGTAGAGGAAGATGGGCACAGATGTTAGCTCAGGGCCAGTCTTCCTCAGCAAAAAAAAAGAGGAGGATTGTCAGCAGATGTTAGCTCAGGGTAAAAAAAAAAACTTTAAAAAATAAGTCAATGAACAAAAATAAAGGTGACTCAGAAAAAGTAATTAGGTGGACCAGGCTCTTGGAGCTGGGTTTTATCTAGGGTGTGTGGGGAGCCCTCCTGTCGATGCAAAGACTCATCAGCTAAGCGCCAAGGAAAAGCGTTCTGTGAGAAGAGATGAAGGCGGGCAGAGAAACTGGCACTTTCTCTGGAAAAGAGCAGTTTCACAGTCCAGATGCGCACCTCCACACGAGTAGCGAATCCAGTGCACTACCCAGGACAGGTGGACCCAGGTTTGCTTCAAAAACATTTGGGTTTTTGACTTTTGCCTTTCTTCCTTTAAAAAAAGTTTGGAATGAGGAAAAAAGGCATAATTATTTATATGGAAATCAAATCTATTTTCACAGAGAGTGGAGAGAAAATCTGATCAATGGCAACAAGGGGGAAGCCAGGGATGGGCAGGGATTCCCTGTAAGGCTCTAGCACGGCAGGCAAACTTGGGTTTCCACTCAGTTTAATAACACTATTCATAATAACAGCTCACACTCAGGCAGGGTTGACATATGCTAGGCAGTGCTCTAAGTGCTCATGCACAGTACCTCATTTGGTCCCCATCTATGAGGTGGCAACTGATGTAATCCCCACTTTACAGACCGAGACTGAGGCCCAGAGAGGTTAAGTAACTTGCCCAAAGTCATGGAGCCAATAAATGACAGAACTATGCTTTCTGGCTAGAGTCTGCGTTCTTAACCATTATACCATATTGCTTCCTGAGAAGCATTTATTAAGCCCCTACTATGTGCTGGGCACTATGCTGGACAAGACAGGTACTGAGATATAGAAAACACCGGGCCATGGGTTACAGGCTTAGTCCATGCAGTGACGAGGACCACACAGCTATCCAGAGGTCTAACTTCAGAATGAAAAGTTAGAAAACTATCTCCAAACAGCTGGACGTGATGTTTTTCAATGACTGAAAAGCAGTGCCCATGTTCTCACGGATACCATTGCACTCAGTAGAGTAAGTCGTAAGAACAAACATTCCTGATGCCCCACCCACCCTCGGTCATGAGACTCAATAAGGCTCACTCCATTTTGATTGGGGGAAAAAAGCGACCTGTAAATACAGTTGTTTATTTTTCCTGAATTGCCCTCTTGTGTAAGAAGGACTGCTCACCGCTGACCTAGCAGGCTTGAGTTCAAGGCCTCTCCAAGGGTGAGAAGGCCCAGGTGCCCAGTTATTAAAAAATGAAGATGTGCAAAGCCGGATGACAACAGTTACGGCACATTTTAAATGCTCGCATGTAACAAATTCACACTTTTCACATACACACAAACTCAAACACAACATAAAATAATTATGATTGCACGAGAATTACAGGATCGTTTTTTAAAAATGTTAATTCAGAGTGCCCCATGGATAGGGTGGTCTAGGGACAGACTATACATTTGATGTCTTGTGATGAACATCTTGGTAACTACACACATAATCTCATGCAGAGACAACACCAAAGTTGCATTTGAGTCCTCTATGACTAGGAGACCCAAGTTTAACCAGCTCCCCACCCCCTTGATAAGACTTCCTTAAGGGAAGGAGAATAAACCATTGAGCCCAGTGCTAAGGAACAGTGAAGACCCACTTGGGAACCAGTGATAGGGTAGAAATGAGGTTCACAGAACTGGAGAAAATGTGGGTGAAAACCCTGGGACACGGCCACCTACAGACCCAGGCTAACCGGGTGTGGGATCTTTATGACACCTGGAGGTCAAGTCCAGGAGGTCAGCTAAGGTTATAAAAGGCAGGCAGAACATCACCACCTGCTTACTTGCCCATGAGCTAGCTCCTCCCAGGCCTTCCGATGCTACCCTCACGGCCCTGGCCCACCTTTGCTGGCCTCTCCACAGGTACACGTGGTGTCCTAAACACATATGAATCCTCCAACATGTGCTCCCTTCTCTCATGTCCACCCCATCGCCTGGGAGTCAATTAAATGCCTTTAGAGAGTCAAAAATGGTGCCCATTGTGACACAGCATCCAATGCTACTTTCCAGAGTAGTGTGAGGTTCGATTCCAAGACCTGGGGAAAAAAAGGCATGAAAGCTCCTTGGACCCTCAAAGATGAGACAGTGCAGAAAGCTGGTTGGAAACCATTTTCCAACGTCTATTTATTTTTCTGCTGAAATCTATCTCGTATGTGTATTGCCAAGGAAAGTTAAGGCTCTTGTTCTGAAGCAAGGAAAGTTCTCTTTCCACATGACACCTGCAGAAGATGGAAAATGTGATACACTCTGCATATCACAGGACACTGGCTCCCGGTAAGAGGACACCTCAACTCCCGCCAGGGCAGCTCTGAGTAGGGTCGGCCTTTCCATTTTTCTCCTGTTGCTGAAGGGCCCTAGAAAGGCCACCAGGGCCTTCCCCCAGGACAAAGGTCTCCCCAGCCTCCTGTGAGGCCTCACTGATTGCTATCCCTTTTATTTAGTAAGTAGCAGAGTTTTTAAGTAATTTCCAGAGCTCTTTACCTGGAGATGCACCCAGGAAGAGGGGCTCCTATTCTTCCCACAGAGGCCTGTGGACCACGTATTAAATTCACTGGCTCCTACTCAAGCTATAGAAAGCTGCATATGACCTTGAAACATCCTCTCTAAATTCCTCCCCTAGGTCCAGTCCAGGCAAATACAAATTGATTTTATTTTTTCAAAACACCAGCCCCTTCAGATGGCCTTGTTTATCTTCATTAACATTTCTCAATGATGAGAAGGGCCAAGGGTTCAATGCCCAATGTTGTATCCGGAGAGACAAGGCCTGTGGGAAGCTATAAAACTAAGAGATGGCGAATCCATGAGCAATCCCCCAGATATCCTTAAGTCAATGGACTTTCTCGAACATATCCCACCCTCACTCCCCAACAGTAATAGCTCACACTTCCGGAGCACTGACTCTGGATCAGACCGTGTCCTAAGACACGGTCTTAGGGTTAACTCATTTAATCCTCACACCAACCCTGTAGGGTAGGTGCCAGGCAGAGAGCTGAGATTTGAACCCAAAGTCTGATTCCATGCCCAGGAGGGTCACAACATATTTCTTTACTCAAGGATCACAGCTGATGCTCTTGAGAGGAGCATTGACCTAACTGTGCTGGGAGCATTCATTTACTTCTCTGTCCCTCTGAATCATAAACTGCTAACTGCCCCTCAGTATTTATTCTCCCTTCTTCCTTTTTGTAACCTCCACCCCCAAGTTTTACCTGAGCACCTTGCCATCTGCTCTGGACTACATTTCCCAGCATCCCTTGCAGCTGCTTGTGGCCATGTGACTGAGTTCCGACCCATGGCATGTGAGTGGAAGCTCATTAATGACAAGCTGCTTGCCTTGTACTTCCTCACCTCCTACTTCCCACATCATAAAAGACTTAGAGATGCAGAAGAGTAAAACACCTGGGTCCAAGAATGACTTCACAGACCTACTTTGCTAGTCTGGTGTGCTTGTCCTAGGACTTATATGATAAACAAACTGTCATTTAGCCATTCTATTCGGGGATGTCTCTTTTACAGCAGCTTACCCTTATATGCAAGATTCGGCGCCTTAAGGCCCAGACCTTGCCTTATTCTACTCAGCATCCCTAAAACCCTCTCTTAGCACTTGGAACATAGCAGTTGCCCAGTGAATATTTGTTGGGTGAATGAAAACATTATTATGTAAACCAGGTGGTAGTGGGATCAAACAGACCCAGCCAAGCTCAGTAGACAACCCTCATCCAGGTGGGTACAATGTCTCCCGCTTTCCTGGCAAACAGGAGCTCAGGCCAGAGGGTCTATGTTTAGGGAAGGGTTTGCAGTAGGGGAGGAGTGACCTTCTGCATCTGTGCCGACTCTGCTGAGACGATGGGTTTAGTACTCAACCACACGTTCGCTGACGTTGTTGCTTGTCTCATTGCAATAATGAGCTCAGCTTGAGCACTTACCATGGGCCAGGGACCGTGCGAAGCACTTCACCCACACGACGGCATTCATTTTCATTTAGTCCTCACAATGACCCTACAGTGTAGGAGCTATTATCCCCAAATGAGCAAACCAGGCTCAGAAAGAAGTTAAGAAACTTGCCCTGGCCACAGGCTAATAAGCAACAAAGCTCAGATTCAACCCCACGTTGTTTGAGCCCTCAACTTGATCTCTTCTTATCCACCATGTTACTCTGCCTCTCTTCACGTGTGACAACTAGCATTACAAATTTGGAGGGTTGGACCAAGTTTTGTGCTTATCTGAGTAGATGTCTAATGAACAGAGCTTCTAGTGTGACCATGACACTTTTCCTGTGTGCATCGTTGGTGAGGGGCTGCACACGCCCACCAGGCTGCAGCAGGGCAGAGGGCAAACAGCCTTGGCCCCAGGGTCCACCTAGCTCCCTCTTGCTATCTCCTGCTCTCCGGGCTGCCCCTGTTGCCCCAACCTCTGCACCCTGCTGCCCACGCTGCTGCCACCCACAGCCTGTGCCCTTTCTCCTCAGCTGCCTCCATGCACAATTTTTGCCAGGCCTGGCAACTCTCCTTGCTGAAGCCAACAGGATCCAGATCTGCCCGTCCAGCCTGGTAAGGGTGTAGTCCAAGTTTCACATCCCACCTTCACCCTACCTTTGTCCTCACAGCCTTCTTAATCTCCACCAGCTCCTTCCTCCTCGTGCCCTAAGTTCAGCAAAATAGAGTCAGCAGGCAGGTGGGGAGGTGCCAAGTAGGCTTCATGCCAGAGTTTGCAAACCTAGAGCCTATGGGCCAAATATAGTCCCTGGGTATGTTTTGTTTGGTTGCACTGTGCTTTTTGCTAAGTCAGTTAGTTACATCAAAAGTTGTTAGAGCTCATATACATATTCAGACTTCAAGCCGTTCCTGAAAAATCAGGAGCCCTGGCAACGCTGGACTGGCCTTCCTATGTCACAAGTGGCTGGAGTCAAAGTTGACATCCGGCTGGATGAGCATGAACTTCCAGTTCACCATAGTCCTCTCTACTCCCTATTCTACTTTTCGCATCCAGACATCCCTGAGCTTGTTTACATGGCCTGCCAGGCCCCCGGGGGCATTTGAGTTTGCAATGCCTGCTGTAGTGTCTCCAATTTGCTGAAGAGCAAACTGAGAAAGGCAGAACAGAAATTATTCTTCCAGGTCTCAAAGTTGAGTTCCTCAGCAAATCCATGGCTGGCTACAATTAGGCAACATTTCTCAAGCTCCGAGACATCCCAGGCACTGTCCAGAGCATCACAGGGGTGTAAAGACAGGACCCTCGACCCTGTCTCTCTCTAGTCACTACCCTTATCCAAATGGCTGCTCCAAACCCAGGGGCACTGCAGAGAAAGCCACTTTATTTTTTCAACACACAGGTCGCAAACATCTCTTTTTTGCTGTGCCATGATAATCTGATGCTCCTCATTCACCCCAAGGTTAACTTTTCTCAAATCTGTCGTTCAGATTATACACCCTGAACCTGCTGAGGTGGACTTTTCTATAAGGTAATCCCCTCTAGGCCTGAATCCTGATGACATGGAGCGGGGGAGGGGGCAGTGCATACACGTGTGTGCTCACATATATGCTTCTGGATTAACACTCTATCTTCTCATTAACATCCCAGACAGGTGAGAAGTCAGCATTTGCTCCAGTTGATGAACCAGACAGTGTCCGTCCCGCTGCCCCATGAAAAGGGGCAGCAGCTGCTGGTGGCTGCCTTGATGGAATGAAGGTTCAGGACTGCCAGGTCAATTTTTCCCGAAGCCAGGAATAAAATTCAGATACGTGAAACAGTGATTTCTATTGCTAAGACCTGTGCTGAGAAACAAGCCCCTAAGTGCTTGAGGGACGTCACGAGGCTCAGGGCCTAGAGGCTCCCAGGAATGCCAAGGAAATGAAGGCTCCCCTTGAAATGCCCCATTGGAATGGTCAGCAGCAGGTCCTCAATCTCTCGTCATGTCCTGACACCCACCCTAGGACCTGCAAGAGGACCCTAGCATGCTTGGCTGGCTTTGTCCTCCAGCCTTGTCCCCCATGATGACAAGACAACTAAGATGTCTTTGACTAATACTTTCTTCTGCTCCCTGTTTGGTCTGTCCTTAAACTCTTTTTTTTTCTTTTTCTTATCCATCTTCTCCTTAGAACCCTCCGGTTCTTAACTCACAGTGGATTATCTGGATCTTTCCAGTAAGTAGGTTGCAACTTTCATTTCTTTGATTAAACAACTCTAACAAAGAATTCATTGAGATGAAAATGCTTATCACGAAGTAGGTAGCATCCTTTTCCTCCTCAAACCACACGCCGTTACCATATGAATGGCCTGGCAAAGGGACTTCTTTGAGAGGTGGCAGATTATAACTACTCTTGCTCCTACACTTACAAAGCTTTAAAAGAGAGAGAGGAAAGAACAATTTTCAGATGAGAAAATGTCACAGATGGCCACAAATTCACTTCCCAAGGGATGATCATTTTGATGCAAATACTCTTTCTCCAAGTGAAAAACGTACAATGTACAAAATGTCCACTTGTGGATCTGTGCCTCCTATTTGGGTAATCGCCCTTCTACTGTGGGTAATGAGCAGGCAAAACGATATGCCCAGAAAGGCAGCCAATGAGAGGCCCACTCACCCTGCATCCTGATTGGCCAGGCCTGGCACCAGCTGGAACCAAGGCCAGCTTTGAGGACAGCAGAGCGACTTGATAGGATTCTCTCTTCAAAGCATAGAAAAAACATCAATTAATCCTCAAAAGATGCTTTCAAGGAGAACATTATCCCTTTTGAGGATGTGGAAGCTAAGAGGTGCCACAGGTAGTAGAAGGGAGGGCAGAGGAGAAAAGGGAGCACTGGGCTCTGAGCCCCAGATCTGGTTCTCTGGAGAGAATCAAGTTGCAGGAGAAGAATGAACCTCAGAATTGGGGCAAAGGAGGCGGCGGAGAAGCCTCTGCCTTTGAGGGTGCCCCTCAAGGCTCCCCGTGCTCCATCCCAGAGGAGGATGCAAAGCGAAACAGGGTCGCAGTCTTAAGCATGGCACTGTGTGCACCAAGCCAGGAACCAGAGAAAGAGTTCAAATTACTGGACTTGGGCTCAAAACCCCTTCTTTAGCCTAATGACCACTAAGTCTGTGGGAGGAGGAAAAACTGAAATCTGGATCCAATTAGCCACATTCAGCCTGTTTAGGCCACCCCCCCACCCCCACCCCTCTTTCCCGAAATAGGGAGGGGGAAGGATTTGTGTGTGTAAACAGAGGCGATGCCCTGCGTGGCTGGTCTTTCCATCTTAAGAGACCGGATCCTGAGCCTCCGACAGCTCACACTTGTAGGGATCGCAGCCTGTCACTGTGTTTGGCAGTAAACGTCACACATTCTCACGTTTCACATGTGTTCAGCCTTGAATATTTTGCTCTGAGATACCTGGAAAAATTGTTTGCCACTGATCAAATGTTATAAAAACACCCCCCAGTCAGTGTTACCACCTTACACACTGATTTCTACATTGAATGTTTTTAGCCTGCATTTTGTTAAAAACTTGGAATAACTTTCTTTGCCACATACTATGTACTGTTTGTGTCACTAAAGAGAGCCCATGCCGTGTGCAAATTATAGGCTTATTGGAGATATTTAAGTGTTTATAGAAAGGATTTTCCTAAAGGATCCAAATGAGTTTTCTCTCAATTTACCATAGAGTCAAAGAAATAAAGGAAAATATCCTACAAACGACAACTGTCTATTTTAATTCAACTACCAACAGCTATTCTGACATAGCCTTGCGTATACATATGCATGCTTTCAGAGGCATAGGAAAGATCTGGAAGGGTATACCAAAAACTGTCCTTAACTGGAGGGAGCGGAATGGGCAATTAGGGAAGAAGTTTTTATTTTTTCTCTCTTTTTTTGGTCTTATTTTATCCCCTTCTGTACTGTGCATCTTTAATCAGCATGTTACTTTGTAAACGTTTAAAATTCTAAAATGGAAAAGTTACTCTAAGATCATCTCTCTTTCTCCAAGTATGGCATTTTGTCCCCATGCCCATGCAAAGTCAGCCAGTAAGTTTTGGAAATGTCTTGCTGTCTTTTACACACAAAAGAATTACAAATTTTCATCCCGGTATTTTCAACCCTGGGGTCACTTCATCCAGAATACTAAGAGCTAAGAAAGTACAGTATCTTGAAACCCACTTCACAGAGGCGGAGGGTGAAGCGGCATCAGGCGGGCACTGAGTCAGAAATGTGGCCCCAAGTTCCAGGAAACCACTCAGGCTTCCTGACTTGACTTCCCTAGGGGTCACCTGAGCAACATGGCAGAAGAGCCGTCATTCTACACAAGTCGGACACGGCTCCCGCTCCCACTTCCCGGTTACTACGAATGCCCAGGACACACAAACTCACAAAACAAATGGATAGGGTGGAATCCCTCCAATTGTTAAAATCATCTTTTTCTTCTCCTAAAGAATGGACTTGTCAAGTGACACCAGCCTCTTCCATCACTTAAGTGTTTATTTAGAGAATATTTCAGTTGGAAGCTTGAGAAATGAAGATCTAATCTCCAAGGGCCCTTAGCAGTAGCCAAGTAATTAGAAATGAAGTTAAAAAACAGGGTTGAAGTGATGAGGCCAATAGGAAAATCCAATTCATTTACCAAATTTTCACTTAACTCTGTTTTTCTCATGAACACAGCGAGATACAGTTGTTATCAGCACGCCAGGGATGGGGAGTCTGAAATGAAGGAAAATGGACATTCTGGGCTTCTTGAACTCCTGGTATCCGGCAGAGCTGGGCAGCAGGATCAAATTGTCGATTTCAGCCTCACCCTGAAATGAAACCTCTAAACGTCACAGAAGTTCCACCACTAATCGGCTCCCATTCACGCCTCCCACATCACAATCCTTAAGGTCACCAGAGGGAGCCCGGATTTGCACTGAACCAGGATGCATTCCTTCGAGGACACAGATGTCCTTCCAATTCCACTTTTACCCTCTCCTTTCCAAGACTGATTTAGACACAAGGGGAAGTAGGCTAGGAAAACCCTCACCTTTAATATTAATAAGAATTGTGCAGTCCCCAGATGATCAGAGCCCAGACTACATAGGACTTGAAAGAAGGATGGAGACTTTGATATGGAATATGAAAAAGTAACAGGCGGGAGGAGCAGGAAGGCCAAACTGGGAGGCCCAAGGCCCAGCTTCCACCAGCTCCCGGACTGCCTCCCCAGTGACGATCGTTCTGATTTATTAAGCAAAGATGATGTACACCTGCCTCACTACCTTTTTGTCTGTGAGGTGAATGAAATGAAATCACAAATAGTTTATTTGCCACGACAAAAAAAAAAATACAAATGAAGGAAGTAGGAAGGGAGCCCACCCTTTGACTTCTTTTCAAAGAGATTTCACATGTGCCATCTCATCATTATCCCTGGTGAGAGAGTAAAACGTTATTATTAGCTCCAATTTACAGGACAAGCAACTGAGGCACAGAGTGATGAACTGACCAGGGCAGCATGGCTTGTAGAAGCAGCATTGGTCTGTTCAGTATATTGACGTGCATTGCAGTGGTATCGGTCTGTGAAGACCTCTCTGGGTTGTGTCTAGAGGACTCGGCCACCCGGGGAGAGACAGAACTCAGGCCTCCTCTAGAGCAGCCTGGAGCTCCTCCTTACCCTGCTTTTTAGTTTTACAGCCTTACACAGCTTAGTTTTACAGGGAGCCTTTTAACTAAGAATCTCAGAGGCCCACTAGCCGAGGGGTCGGTGGGGAAAGCAAAGGACTCCCCTGAGCCACTATATAACCTATGTGCCACTATGGTCCAAAGCAAACACGTACAACCCTGGATCGTGAGGCCAGGAGAGAAGATGGCATCAGGAGTGAATACCTGGGTGCTGTTTGCTGGGACCTGAATGGCTGAAGGCAGGAGTGACCAGCAGGAGCCCCAGATCATAAGACCTGCACTCAAGTGTAATCTATTTTAGGGCAGGGAATGTCAGGAAATTTACATGCTAGAATCTACATCAACCACTGCTATCAACGAGCTCGGTGAAGGGGAGGGAAAGACAGAAACAAGCGTTCAATGAGTGTCTTCTATGGCCTGGCATCTGCTTGGGGCCTTCACATGCTGTCCCAGGTGATGGCCTCGGGCAGGGCACAGCCCCTCGAGACTTTCTCCACAGACAGAGCATGGAGAGGGATGTCCGCGGCTCCTTCTACCCCAGACACATCAGTAGTGACTTCCCCACCCCATTCCAATACTCAAATTCTCTTCTGCAGGCACCACAGGACGCTGCTGGGGGTTCTCTGACCCTCCAAAGTCCTCCTCCCCTGGAGCTAGCTCTGAAGCAGGAGAACAAGCTTTCCCTCTTCTCTTATCACCTCTCCTGCAGCCAGCAGGCCCTCCCACCAGAACACCCTCAATTCACTCAGGAATCCATGAGGCAACTTTGGGGGAGGCAAGAGAGGTGAGGAGAGAGAGGAGGAAAAAGGTCACAGTGGCAGCCTGTTACTTCTGGAAGCAAGCATTTCCCAGCCTGCTTTGTGAAGGACCCGCAAAGCATGCATGGGTTGGGGGGGGCGGGGACGACACGACTGCATTCCAGGAATTCTGGGGGACTGGATAGGGCCATGTGGAGTATGGATCCCATCCTACAGGAGACAATATTTTGAAAAGACCACACATTTGACCAGGAAAGGAGAGACCATGGCCAGGCTTAGGAGCATAGCTGTTTCCTTCTCGACCTGTCCTGCTGTTCCCAGCCTCGACTTGGAGCAAACGGTTAATAAGCCAACCTAAACCCAGAAGTGTGAATAATGCATGGGGCCAGCTCTCAGGCCTCCCACACAGGAGGGCGTGACAAGCGGCACAGATGGCCTTCTCACGTGCACAGGCCACAGCTCTGCTGTGGGGGCAGAAATTCCAGGGCAGCCTGTGCGCCTCAGCACCAAGCAAGAGAAAGTGGGGCTCCCCGGGAGAGGTACGAGGCGGGTGAGGACTGATGCGTGGATGGGCAAGTCCTAGCCGTCCTGGGGCAGACACCAATAGCAGCTGGAGTGATTTGTGAGCCCTTTTGTCATGAGTTAATTTGCTTCTAGCAGATTCCATTAGTGACCCGACAGACCCAGGACTTGGAGGAGGGCCCTGGAACGGCTGCTGAGTCAGCAGACTGCAGGGGCGACCAGGAAGGCCAGACATCTTGCACCCAGCCCTTTGCCCAGGTTTCTGTTTGAAGAGCTTAGAATAATTATTTGCGAAGCTCTCGTGAAGGCAGCACCACATATAGGGAGAAGCCACACGAACCTTGACCACCAAATGCAAACGGCCAACCAGGGGCTGACGCAATACAGGAAAAGGATGCCCACGTGAAAGAATCTTTTCCTCCCAATGGCAGGAAGAAAGCAAAAGTCAAAGTTACAAATGGGTCCCACCTACAACTAGGAATCTGAGGGGAGTGGAGGTGGGGGGAGGGATGAGCTTTCTTTGAGTTCCAAGTGACAATTCCAGTAGAAGAAGAAAATAACGATACTGTTACTACCGCTGCTATTACTACACATAGTAACATTACAGTTAACATTTATTTGGCACCTGGTGCATGCTGGGACCTATGCTACAAGGCTTTTAGGCATTATCTCATTTACTCTTCACAACAGCCATTTGAGGTGAGTAAACTATGTGGGGAAGAGACGTCACACAGCTACTAAGTCATGGGGAAGAGTCAGAGCAGAATCAAGCCGAGGTGTGTCTGACTCCAAGCTTGTGCCCTGAGCCACTTGGCTACGCAGCTCAGTCCCGCTCAGTCCCATGGGAATGGGAGAAAGAGCTGAAACGGGACTCAGGAACACCAGCTCCAGTCTCACATGTGCCCAAACTAGCTGTGGGATCTTGGTAGGTGATTTCAGCTCCTGGGCCATCCTATTCCATAGGACGGCTGAGTGATGTGTTAAGGGCCCCTTCAGTTCACGCTACAGTTATTGACGGCCTGAATGCCAGGCCCAATGAAGGGTGGGAAGTGCATAAACCTACCTGAGGGGTGGCCTGTCCTCAAGGGGTGTGCAGCCCAGCCCTGCCAATGCAAAAGCTAAAGAGCCAGAGGTGTCTCTCAGCTCTAAAATACTACTCAGTGACTCTTTTTCAGTATAAAAAAGTATTTCTGACAACACGTATATGCATATTCTATTTGTTCTAGGTGAACGGAGGCATGGAGAGCTGTCTGAAGGACATTCATCCAATGGATCGGGGTGATGTTTCCACTCTCATCTTTTTACATTTTTTGTGTTGCTTGAATTTTTAGTACAAATATACATCATTTCTATAAAGACAATAAAGTCATTTTTAAAATACTGCTAAAAACAATAATATATATGTATATATGCACACACAGACATACATACATAAACATATATATTTTAACACGAACTGGATATTTTACAATATGAAGAAGTTATGATTAACTCCATTGAGATTGTGACTATGTTTTTTAAAAGAATCCTTAATTTTTTGTAAGCATACACTGAAATATTTACGGATAACAGGATGTCTGGGATTTATTTCAAAATAATGCCTGGGGTGGGAGGGTGGGGGTGGGCTGTAGGTGACACACGACTGGCTGTGGGTGGGTAATTGTTGAGCTGGGTGATGGGTATATGAGGGTTCATTATACTATGTATGTTTGAAATTTTTCATAACACAGCAAAAGAGGAAGCTCTTTGAAGGCCAACAGGGAAGGAATATTTCCCAAAAGCTAAGCTAAGCCCCCAGCTGGCAACCTTTATTCCTGAGCTTTTCACTGTCCTTGGCTCTCTTCCCTTTGACTATCACAGTTTAACTTCATTTGTTCTCTGGGGCTTCCTCCCACTCCCACATCATTCCCCCAAACCTTCTAGAATCATCCATCAAGTCTGTTGGTATATTCTGGTGCCCGGGCCATGCTATATGACCTTATCCTTGCCCTGGGGACAGAGGTATGGGACTCAGCGATACCCCACACACCAACGTTCAAAGTCAGCTACACTCAGGCTCCGTCTGCTCTAGAGGCAGAGCAGCTTGACCCATGGGGTAGGGGGCAAATTTCACTCATCCATTCAACAAACACTTGCCAGTCACCTACTTTGTGCCAGACACTGAGACAGGTGCTGGGGCTCAGTGGTGAACAAGACAAAATTGCCACCTTCACAGAGTTTTCATGCTGGAGGAGAAGCTAGTATAGATGTCATCTCCCCAACACTCCAAGCCTTAGGGTCAGGGGGTTTATTCTCCGAAATATCCCTGAATCACGTGGGATCTTGTCCAAAATAAAGACAGACAGGATCTGAGGCCAAGAGATAGAATACCACGCAACTCACCACCCCCACCCAGTTCCCCGTTGCATGGGACACACAGCCCACAGTGGTGCAACCACCGGGTGAGTGAGTGGCAGCAGAGGAAGGGCAGCCAGGCGTCACCAGGCCAGGCCCACCAGGGCCACCTTCATATCGGAGTTTTTATAACCTTTGCCGCCACTTTGACAAAGGTTTCTCATCCACTCCTGAGGTGGAACTAGGTAAAGTTTTACCAGCATGCATGACTGCAGCTGTTTTTAAAACCAAACTTCCCCGCCAGGGATGACTTACACGACCTCGCAAGGATAACCAGGCCCTCCTACGTGAAGGCTCGGTCAAGGGGGAGCGTTAGCATCACTCGGAGAATCTCTTATGCTGCACTCAGTGCACGAGGACTTGCAAATCAACTTTCCTGGCCAAAAAAAAATTTCAATTTGGAAAAACTACAAACATTTTCAAATTTTCTTGCTTCATCACAATAATGGAAATAGAGTGTCATGAGTAAAGACACAGGGTTTAATCTCATCTTTGTTGTGAACTTGCCATTATTCTAATAAAGATGCACGCTCTGCACAATTTCCCCCATTGACTATGATCTCCAAGGGGCAAAGACATCTCAGTCCTCCTCTTTTGTTACATCCTCAGCACCGAGCACAGTGCCTGGCGTATAGTTTGTGCTAGAAAGTATTTCTTGAATTGAATCCAAATATGCTTTTAAAAATGATTTTTTTTTTTAAATTCAAGCTCAATGGTACACACCCAGAGATAGTTCCCTGTGCCCTTGGAGCAACTAGTTTGCATCCTAGTACCAACAAGACCCACTGGACCACATCCTAACCTCCTCCCTGGGTGGATGTCCATCGAGGGCAGGTGCAACAACACCCCTGCCTATTGGACAGTTCCACCTGGATATTGAATGAGCGTCTCAAGCCTACCGAGGGCAAAGCTGAGCCCACACGCACCTGCTGCCCCCCCACACAACGGTCCTCGCCATCTCAGCAATCCCATTCTTCCAAGTGCTCAGGCCAAAAACCTTGGAATCATCCATGACACCTCTCTTATTGTCACACCCCACTTCCAATTCCTTTGCAAGTGCTGTCATCCCTGTCTATAAAATGTACTAAGAATCCAGCCACCTCTTACAACCTTTGCAATCACTACCCTGGTCCCAGCTGCTGTCTCCTTACTAGTCCCTGCTTGGCCTCTGCTTGCTCCATTTACTCTCAACTCAGCAGCCAGGGTGATGCCATAAAAACCCTCCAGTGGATTCCAAAGATAAGCCAAAGTTCTCCTGCTGCTCTCACTCTGCCCCAGTCACACTGGCCTCCTTGCTGTTCTTCAAAACATCAGGCACACTTCCACCTCAGGACCTTTGCACTTGCTGCTCCCTCTGGTTGAATCTCCAGATGACCCTCAAATGTCACTTTTCACTGAGATTCTCCCCCAACACTCCCTGTTCCAAATCCCTCAAAGATTTATCACCATCTTACTTATTTCCTTACTTAGATCACCATCTGGCTGCCCCCACTAGAACGTAAGCTCCAGGAAGGCAAGGATTTTGCCCATTTTGTTCACTGCTTATGTCCAGCACCCAGAATAGTGCTGGGGGCCCAGTAAACATTTGCTGAATTAATAAATGAACCCCAGGACTCCTGGAAATATTCTTTCCTCCCCATAACGGAGGGAAAATCACAGCATCACCTTAAAGACATATGACTCAGTTCATAGCAAAATATATATATTTCAGGCATTTCTCAAGCAAATGAATAAGTTCTAATGAACTTCTAGAGGGAAGGAAATCTTATTTCATTTTTACTCCCTCTTACCCTTCCCAAGTCAGGGACCACCTCCCCTCCTCTCAGGCCCAACGCTGGAGAACATCTGGTCAGAGAATGCAGGAGATGCTGGTGTCCCCAGACCTGAAAGCAGTCCCCACCCACAAGTCTGAGGCAAAGAGAAGATGACTGAGAAAGAGAAGAGAAATTAGCACATAGATGAGAAACACATGTTCAACAACCCCTTCCCAGGCCATGAGTCAGCTGAGCAAAGCTGGCACCAGAGTGACAAGTTAACTTCATGACCCTGTTGCTTTCATTAGGAACTGCAGGACTCTTTTTTAAAAAAAGGAACTGATGTGTAGAAAAAGGGCATGTGTGTCTGCCCACATGTGGTCTAGTAACAAAATGAGTTGTTTTCCAATGAAATTTGCTTTGAATGTGCATTAAACCACCTACTGTGTGCCCAACACAGTGCAAGGTGCTGGAGACGCAGAAAGGTCTAAGATACGGTTCCTTCTGGTGAGGAGCCCTGGCAGGTGGAAGTGACCGGCACAGACACAGCTCACGGCCGACACCATGCTAAGTGCTCCGCTAGCAGGCACAAAGTGCTAGGGGTCCCGCAGAGGGGCAACTGGTTCTGCCTGGAGGCAGCTCAGGCCTTGAAGGGTGAGTGGGAACCAGAAGAGTTCATCAGGCAGAGGCGTGGGGCCAGGGGAGGAAGTCCTAGCAGAGAATGTCAGAGAAGCAAAGGCCTGGAGGTGGGGAGTCCATGGTCTGGCATGATTCAAGCTCAGAGTCCAGGGACAGGTGGCGGAATGGGAGGCTGAAGTGTGAAAGTCAGGCTATGGAGTTTAGCGTCCTTCTCTGAAGAGTGGCCCCTGGTTGCTCCAGGGAGAACCGATCCCTCCCCTCCTTGGGATCCCACCACGCCCCGTACACACTCCCCAGAGCCTTGGCACGGGGAGCATTGGCTGTTCCCTCTGCTTGGAGCACTTTTCCCCCAGGTATCTGCAAGTGCCACATGCCCCCGTCCTTCAGGTCTCTGCTCAGTCGGCACCTTCTCTGTGAAGTCATCTCTGAACACCCTCTCCAGGGGGCAAACCCACACACATGTGCCCCTTACCTCACCTCGTTCTCGCCACAGTGTTCACACCTGTATATCTGTGCACTGTTGTTCTCCCCCACGAGAATGTGAGCTGCGTGAAGGCAGGGACCTTGTTTTACCAACTGCTGTATAACCAGCACCTGCAGTGCCTGGCATACAGTGGGAGCTCAGTAAATAGCTGACGAATGAATAAGTGTATGATGAATGTTAGACTTGAATGATTTTGGTTGTTTATATCTGTCCCTACCTACAAGATTGAAAATTGATATGAAAGCAAAGATTGTGCTCTCAGTTCTGTACACCAGCACCTCACACAGCACTGCACGGAGTTGGCACTCTGCAAACAGCTAGTGAATGGATGGATGGATAAATGGATAGACAGAGGGGTGAATGGATAGTGAGAGGATGGATGGACGGGTGGGTCCGTGGGTGGGTGCATGGATGGATGGACGGGTGGGTCCGTGGGTGGGTGCATGGATGGATGGATGGGTGGGTCCGTGGGTGGGTGCATGGATGGATGGGTGGGTGGGTGGCTGGGTGGAGGGGCGGAAGGACAGAGTCTGCCATCTGTAGGAGCCATTGAAAGTATAAAGAAACCAAACTGTGCAAAGCTCTCCCTGTGAGTAGGAGTAGCCTGACATGGGGAGAGACTATAGGTTAGGAAGTCAGTTAGGAAGCTCCAGCCAGTGTCCCCATGAGCGCTTATGTTGTCTGAATGAGAGGTGAACAGGGGAGGGGACAGAGTCCAGAGACATTGCCAAGGTTAAGTCAACAGGACTTGGGGACTAGGCGTATGCAGAGGTGAGGAGAGAGAGGAGCCAAAGATGGCCTGAGATTTTTGCTTAAATGACAGTGAACCCCGAGGGGAATGAGCAGCTTTAGGGGAAGAAGAAAAAGTCATTTAGGATGTGAGTTTGCAGGGGACATCCAGGTGGAATGGAGTGGGCCGTAAGATAGTCAGGAGGAGAGAGGAAGATGGAACCTTGGGCGCTGGCTGAGTCAGGGAAATTCACTCCTTCATGCCTATTTTGGAGCACCTGCCATGTCCCAGGCATTTACTAGGTGCCGGGTGCCATGGATGCTGCAGTGTCCAACACAAGCAAGGTCTGTGCTCCCACAGAGCTGACATTCCAAGAGGAGAGGCAGACAAAAGCCAGGTGAACAAATATATAATTTCGGATGGCTGT